CAATAGTGTGTGAGTCTCAGGCTTCGTCACCAGGGCTCTGTCTGGCCTGGCGGCCCAAGTCTTTCATGTGGAACTGCAAAAAGGAAGAGAAAAGAGAAATCAGTCTGCTCAGATAAAGCCAACGGGGCTCGTGGGAGAGGGGCAGAGACTAGAAACCCTCAGGGAAGCCTGTCACGCAGGCAACACAGAAGCACCATAAAGGCACCACACAGGCCTCCATGGCAGCGCTGCATTTTGAGTCCAAAGCACCAGACTTGGGGCCTGACTGTGCGTACTAGGACTGTTCCCTCGTCTGTGCGGTGAGCACAGTAAGAGCTTCCTCAGTGATTGTCGAAGAGAGCAAACAAGATGCCGTGTAAGAAACCACCGCGACACAGGCCAGAGTGATCGGTATGCGCAGAAGGTATCCGCCCTACCGCCGTTCATGGCGTTTCACACCTGGGGGTCCTGTCTTGAGCTGTCAGTTTTGTCACCTTTTCAAATTGCATTTCAGGTCCTCCATGCCCCACTGCTGGGCACGGAATTCCCTGTCTCCACAATGCAGGGCGCAGGCTCCCCGAAACAATTTCAGTGAAGCCATAAGCCAAGCTCACATGGGAAAGTTTTCTGCTTTCTTCAGAGCACATTGCATTTTGTGGTAAAATACTGGTTATACGCATATCCTTGAAATAAAGAAAGCACTCTAAAATTAATCCAAGTGAAGTTCGTCATAAATGTCTCTTTTGTAATGTAGTGTGTAAGTACATGTACACACAATATAGCTCTTTTTAAAAAGGAATACAACATGAGTAGCCTTAAAATATGAATTTTACTAGCAGGAAAGGTTTGGGAGGTGCAAATTCTCCTAAGACTAACATTAGCTATAAAAAATGTAGTATTTCAGTGCAATTCAATATTTTCTTTCATCAGAGGCTCAGGGCCTCAGCCCACAAGTTAAGAGGAATGTAATAAGCTGACTGTATGTGTTATAACTGAAGCTCCTTTTACAACCAGCATCCTGGGGGACAGAGCAAAGAGGTGGCCGTGGACTTGAGCTAAAATGGGAATTCCTGCACTTTTGCTCAGGACACAAGGAGGATCCTGACCTAGGGAGCCACACCCCTCCTGCAGTATGCAGCAGCAACCAAAACCTAAGCACCTCGAGCAGCTGCAAAAGATGGGCCCAGGCCTCTCTCCAGGGCCCCTGCTGCGCGCCAAAGGCAGCCTGTCCACCCCCAGGTCCACCTGGGGAACCACTGCACATCACTCTGCTTTGCTGGGATCTCCTAGTTGGAGTCATTAGGGTGCTAAGTCAGTCTCCATCTGCTAAGAGGTGGGAAGAGCTGTACACAGGGTGACCGTCTGAGAAGGAGGTACTTTTTTAACAACAGCAGCAAAAAAAGCAGAGAAATAATTCATTTATTTAACCCAGAAATGGTTATAATCTGAAACCCTGCAATCCTATTACACAACAACTGTTTTGGCAAATGCCGCTATGTTCGAACAAATATTAAACTGTGCTTGCCATTTGTCTGAGGAATCTTGCATTAATAAACATGAAGAAGAACACTTTTACCTCCCACTCTCAATGACAGGACCAAACAAAGACCAGCTGTATTCATCAATGGGTCCTTGTTCTGCACATAAAGGCTAATTACATTTCGCTTCAAGCCTACACACGGAAAACTTTACCGCTGCCATCCCCATCACAGTCAGCCCGCGCTGTCCCGGCTGACGCAGGGTGATGACTGTACACGATAAGCAGGGGTCTTGGGACAGCCTTGCTGCCATTGACCGCAGGCTTCTTTACAAGATGTGGGGTGGGGGGGGGACAGTCACCTCTAGCACATCTCCCAGGGACAGAGAGGCAGAGGCAACGCATGCTCTTTAAATCTCATGGCGGAGATGACGCCTTTAAGGCCGGTCTTGTTCAAGGCCTGCGAATTTCAGAAATGCACCCAAGTCCTCCTGTGAGATTGCCAGGAAAAGCTTCTGTTGCCTACAGGGCTGTTACTGTGTGCCAGGCGCGACACACACACCTTCTCATCCCGGTCCACCAGCACCCCAGGCTTCGACTCTGATGCCCACTGAACAGGTGAGGAACGTGCGACGTACAGGTCAGAGCTCATCCAAGGTCACACAGGGAGCCGGCAGTGGACCTCCAAGGTCTACTCCCAGGTCAGCCTTCTCCACAGCCCGAGTTCCCCCATGCTTTCCCCACCCCCTTCCTATGTTTTCTGTCAACAAATATATAAGAATACCTCTTTTTGAAGACAGAAAAGAAATTGTTTTGAAATGTTTTAAGACCGTTTGTGAAAAGATTTGCCCCTGGAGGGTTTATATTCATATGTATCAGTGAAAAGACGTCTCGTCTAATAAAATACACGTGGCTTGCGGCTGAAGCAGATGGCGGAGGGACAAACCTTTCCCAGGAAATAACGGGGGAGAGGAATGTGGAGGGGGAAGCTTCATGTGGGATCTCCAAGACTGAGGCCATTGCCTCCAAAGTTAAAAGAAAGTAGCAATTATTATCTCAGTCCATTCTCTACATTTTTTGTGGATTACTTACTCTGGGAACCATTTGCAGTAAGTGTTTGGTACCAGGCTCCCCTTTATTAGTAGTGTCAATCTCCAAATTGTGACGTGCTCGATCCCTGTCTGCGCCTAAGTCCGGCCCTCGGCACCCCCGTGCCCACCTTGACCCTACAGAGAAGTGATTCGGGGCTTCTGGTGGGTCCTGTAGAAGAGCAGCCCCTCCAGCCTTGTGTTTTCACAAACTGCCTCCAGGGCCTTCTCTGGCCTCCAGAAACCCCTCACCTTGACTCATCTTTCAACCTCAAATCACACATTGGCCCCTTCAGAAAGTCTTCCTGGACAGTTTGTGCCTTTTGCTGCAGCTGGGTGGGGTCCTGTTCTGGACACCCGCCATTTCCATCTCCAGCTCCCTCCCCCATCTCCTGAGGCCTGCCCCCGGGCTTCTCAGTTCACCATGAGGAGTACTGGCAGGGACGGGGAGGAGGGTAAGGCCAGGGGTTGCTGGTGCTGCCCTGGATCTCTCAACCCTCCCAAAGGCCACCACAACTCTCAAGGTGCCCATCAAGCTGGGCATGGTGGCCTCGGCAAGTGCTTGCTAGGGATGCTGCATTCCCTCTCTGGTCCCCCTCCTCCCAGCCCATGCCACGACAAACAGTCCGAATGTTAAACTCTGATTGCACTAATTGGCATGTGCTGTGTGTCTTCTGTAGAGACCCTGACGGGCAGGGTGCCCATGCTAACTGGTCCCCTCTGTCACAGCAGTGACCGCACTGTAGGGCAATGGTTTTTCACTCCTCTGAGCCTCTCATCCCAACCATTCCAGAGCCCAGCACAGGGCTGGGCTCAGAGCAGGCCCCCAGGAGGGGCTGCTGGGTTGGTGAGTGGACCTGTTACCTTTGGATCACGTCCATCATGTACCCGCCAGGTTTGTTCTCTCCACACGCACATGTGCACGCCACACCCTGCCTCCCCACTCATCACTGGGGAGGACAAGAGAATTTCCTGCTATGATCTCAGGAAGGGACCCACCCCAGCAGCACCCGTGCCCTGTCTGCAGTTTCTGACAACAGCCAGTCCTTAAGCATTTTCGTGATGAGCAATCGACTCCCTACATTCTGATTCAATTTTCCGGTTCTGGCTGAGAGGAGTGAGTTGTCCCCCAGCATTAGCCAGACCTATCGCGAAGCCAGGGAGAGGATGGGGACAGGGGTTAAGACGTCCCTTCCTCTCTGGTTCTGTCTCCCAGTCACTTCCCCAGCCACCATGTTCCCTACCTGGAGAAAGTGAAAACCTGAGAGTAGAGGAAAATTTCAGTTCTCACTAGATGGCTGTTCTCTGTTGCTTCCCAGTCCCTAAAACAGGGTGATCAGACGGAGACAAATTTTCTGTGCAGCTCTTTAAAAGCCCAGTAAGAAAAATAATGATGGTTCTAAACCAGGGACAGTATTAGCCACCATGTGACAAGTGGCGTTCTTCGCTGCCAAGTCGGAACGGCCTCAGCGGACACTCTGTCATCAGGCAGTTTCTTCCCCCAAGTAGCACACGCCCACGGCCGACAGCACCTGTCACGTGTGTGGGGAAAGCACGGCAGGAGGCGTGGCCTTCCGGAAGCTGAATTTTTGTAACACTCTCAAAACAGTGTTTTTTCAGAATGGTTGTGGTTGGGATCTACAGGAATAACTACTTTACCTCGAGATCCTGGGAGGAGGGCAGCACTATTTAGCGGCATCCCCCCACCAACCCCGGGGCCCCGTGTGAGTGAGCACACTGGAACTTTCTTACTGGAACGGGCTGCCTAAGAGACACAGGCAGGGGCACGTGGGTTTTGGGGGGAGACAGGAAGAGGCTCCCAGAGCAGGAAAAGATGGCTCAAACCCTAGCCTGGCATTGCTTGTCTGGACTTTGGAAGAGAAGGCCTTGGCTACGAACAATCTTTGTGGCTTCTCCACCTTTCTTGATTTATGTTGAAATTATTTATTTTCTGGTATTCTGTATGGAGGGCAGGCTGACAAGAAGTGATCCTATGCCAGACCACTGATTTCCTTCTCACAAGAGCCTCGTGTGACACACATGACCAAACATGCACACTCGCTACATGTGCACACCTGCACAGGGACACCCGGTGTTCCAAGGTGCCACTTGCACAAATAAACCCACGTGGGAATGAAGGACCCAGGTGAAAGGCGATGTGATTCATACAGATGAAGCAGGTCCCATGGATCCCACCTTCCAGAGTGTTAACCCGGCTTCACAGAAATTAAGGAAGAAAGTTTTAGGTGGGAGGACTGTTCCGAGAGCACCAGAACTTGGGTATTAAACTGACACAAGCCGTGGGTGTGACACTGCATGTCTCATGGCAGTTCAGAGGCCAAGGACCTTCTAAACCCTGCACCACTTCGCAAAGCCCACAGACAGCAGGGAGAAGCAGGGAAATCTTTTACGGATCAGCACAGTTGGGTGAGACCTGCAGCCAGGAGGAGACTTACTTGGCAGTGATTTCTTCATCGTATTTGGTTTTCAGGTCAAATAATTCTGTTCGAGTTTTTTCCAGGGCTGAAAGGCAGAGGACATAAAACCATAATATAAGATACTAATTGTTTAAGTTAAATTTAAAAAGGAACAGTATACAAGTCACATATACTCATTTTAAAAGAGTCAAAAATTACAAAAGTACATAGAATGGAACAGAAAATCCCCTTTCACCTCTACCTCATCTCATTCCATGCACCTCCTCAGAGATAACCATTGTTTATTATAGTTTAGTGTGCAGATTTTCTTCCTTTAAATATATTGTTAAAGTACTGCCATGCATAGTTGCACATATATGTATGTTTTTCATCCCCCATAAATAGGGTGATACAAATATTCCCTGAGACTTGCCTCAGCAGAGTGGAGTGAGACTGTCTTCCCGTGAGGACACAGGCAGGGTCAGTGACCACACGCCCCAGTGCGGAGCCCGCCTGCCACCGGTCAGGCCCCCCAGGCCTAGAAGTGCCAGCCCGGGGTGAGGGGCGTCAACATTCCACCTGCAGACCGATTCCATCCCGCTGGCCTCCCAAGGGGTGAATTACATTCCCATTAATACTGTGAGTGTGACTATTTTCCTATCCTCTCACCAACACCGAAGATTATCAATTAAAATTTTGTTTGACAGTCCGATAGGCAAACTAATCTTTCAGTGATTTAATTAGCCTCTCCCAGACTCTTAAAAATCGTTAACACTGTTTTCACATGTGTACCAGCCGTGTGCGTTTCTCCTGCAAGCCGCCTGTGCACATCCCCTCCCCACTGCTCTACTGGACAGTTTGTTTATTTTCACTGATTTGCAGGAAGTCTTTATATATTTTCAGTATTATTCATTTGTCTGTTAAATGTGTTGTGATTATCTTCCACATTTAAATTAAATATATAGTGCTGTTTCCCTTTAAGAATAAAAAGAAAAACAAAGAAAGTAACACAAAATTTAGCAAAACCTTTTTTGCTATCTTTTAAAATTTTAAGGTCTGTTATTACTGTTCTCCTTAACTTCACTAAGGGTAGAAATAAGTCTTTCTTTTCCTAATATTGCTCCCAATGAAACATCAGTCCTTGACACTTGGGTGATTTAGAAGTGTTTGTTGGAGAAGGAGCAGGAAGAAAGCAAGGCTCGCAGAAGGGATGAGAACGTAACTCGGACCCTCCTCCCCGACACTGACGACTTGGTGTGGGTGGTACAAGAAGCCAAGGCAGAGAAGCTGGTGCTCTCTGGGGTACTCTGGGTGTGGGCTCCCGCTCCTCCCCCAGGCTCCTCAGGGCAGAACAGCAGGTATCAGCAGGGGCCTGGGGGGACTTGGAGATGGACTTAACTGTACCCCCTTCAGTCCTCCTGGCATCAACCTGACAGAGATGAAGAATATCACACCTGTTTGCAGGGTCTGAACTTTGTGTTCCGCTTCCTCCAGCTTTGAGGTGGTGGACATCTGCGTCTCGTGCAGCTTTCTGAACAGGGAGAGAACAACGCCAAACTGGTCATCTTGTTGACCAACATAAACATCTCGTGTGCCCTGGAGCTGTGCCGATTGGCTGTCTTCACTGTGACACGTGCAGACAGCGACAGGCCCACAGTCAGATGCTGCTCGTCCGCCACGAGCGCTGCGGAGCCTGCCAAGTGATCGTGTGCACCCCAGCTCTGCACCCATGTGTCACATAAAGTGAGGCATGCACCCTGTGGGGCTTGATGGGTGGTAACTGATGGAGAATTTGTTCTTGAAATGCCAGATATTAAAAAAAAATCATCATCATGCACTCATTGTTTTCTGAAGTTAGCCCAAGAAGAATGATACATTTACATTTTGCTGACACAATGAAGGAATTTGTTGGAATAAAGGATGTACTAAGTAGATGTGACAGCTGTTCCACTTCTGTTATAATGGAATGCGAATGCAACTGCCATACCTAATGGGGAAATCTGAGTGTTTTAAAAACTACATTCTACATATTTACATTTCCCAGGATCTCCAAATGAATTCTCTGGTCAATTGGGAGAATTCCTTCCTCCCAATCTGCAGAAAATTCTCCCAAAACAAGTTCGTTATTTTTACATCATAGGGATACAATATTACATACTCTCATAATAATAAACCTGGGAATCCAGACAAGTAGAAATAAGTTTAAAAAAATCACCCAAATTTCCATCACCTATGGAAATGGATTGCTCACATTTTCACATACTTCAGTTATAAAACTAATATATGCCCTGAAGTTAACACACACACAAATACTGTGAGAGCACGGAAGGTAAAATGCCCTTTCCCTTCCTTGGTTCCATTTCTTTCTAAGACAGAGCTCTTTCACAGCCTCTGAAATTTTTCTACATGTACAGAAATATAATGTAACACACACTGTACAACAGTGTAATATACACTCATGTGATATCCTACAGTGTAGTGTAAACTCACGTACTAGACACTGTAGTGTAACACACACTGCCCGCCCCTTCTCTTGGGACAGGAAGGGTGACAGCGCACGAGCTATTCCGAAGCTTGCTGTTCATGGATCCTCAGACTTTGGAGAGATTCTACTCCAGCATATATAGTTCTTCTTCATTCTTACTAGATAATTGACATAACCAGGCCTCTACAAACATTTCGATGGTTTCTCATTTATTTCCACTGAATAATTCTGCAGTGATCATCATGTAGGTTTGCTGCATAATTCTGAGAGTACATCTGTTAGATAAAAATGGTCAAATGATATGTGCAATTTTTTTTGTTTTGATATTGAGAAACTTCCCAACAAAGCAAACCTCACCAATTTAAACGCCCTTCAACAGTATGTGAGATTCTGTTTTCCTATTCCGACACTGAATAAAATGAAACTTAATTTTACTGCCAAGTAAAGCTGAGCATTTCTGTTGTATGAATGGTCTGCTTACTGCCTTTGCCCACTTTTTATGGTCCTTTGATTTTGCCTTATTAATTTGTAAGAATCTTTGTATACAAAGGAAATTAGCCCCCCCTTTTTAAATGGGGCCAATACTTGGTATTTGTTTAAAAATGTTTTAAATTTTAGGTAGTCACATTTAGATAATTTCCCTTTTATGTTTACAGAGATCTCTGCACTCTAAATTATTAAAAACAAAACATTTGCCCAAGTTTACTTTCATTATATACATGATTTAATCATTAATATTTAAATCCTAGATACATTTCAACTTTTTCACATAAAGAATGAGGTAAAGAACTAGCTTTGTCCTCCACCCCCAATGGTCAGTCAGTTTATTACATCTTTTTTTAAAAAAGATTTTATTTATTCATTTTTAGAGAGAGGGGAAGGGAGGGTGAAAGAGAGCGAGAGAAACACTGATGTGTGAAAGACACATCAATTGGTTGCCTCTCACATGCCCCCACCTGGGGACCTGGCCCACCAATCCGGTGTGTGCCCTGACTGGGGATCGAACCAACAACCCTTTGGTTTGCAGGCTGACACCCAATCCACTAGCTACACCAGTCAGGGCTACTTACATCTTTTTTTTTAAAAGATTTTATTTATTTTTTTAGAGAGAGGGGAAAGGAGGGGGAAAGAAAGGGAGAAAAGCAGCAATGTGCGGTTGCCTCTCACGTGCTCCCTACTGGGGACCTGGCCCACAACCTAGGCATGTGCCCTGACTGGGAATCGAACCAGTGACCCTTTGGCTCACAGCCCACACTCAATCCACTAAGCTACACCAGCCAGGCTATTTACATCTTTTAATAAAATAAATCCTTTACCTAATTAGAAAAGTCAACTTAAAAGTATTAAATTGCCATATGAGTTTATTTCCACACTTTCGTAATGTATGAGGTTTGCGCTGTACAGATGGAATTGCACTGTACATATTTAATCATGCATTTTTCACTTTATGTTATGCTGGATACATTTCTGGTGTTACTGCAAACTCTATGTAACTATTAGTTTAATGGCTGCATAATGTTCCAGTTAGGGATGGCCCATCTTTTACTGACCCATTTCTTGTTGGCAAGCATTTCAATTGCTTATATTCCCCCTCCATTCATTATCAATAATATGGTGAGCAATCTCTTTGGGCACAAATTGCTTTTCTAGGAGGCAGTAAGAGTCTCCTCATCTTTGAGCACCCTGACTCCTTTGCTGGAGCCTGTGCCAGCCCCACACTCCCAGCAGGGTGGGTGTAGTGGCCCCGCACGGAGTCAGGCTTCAGTGAAGCCACGTCTGAGCACAGGGAGGCCAGGGCTGCAGTGGGGGATCAGGCCTGGGCCCACCTCAGGCTGACAAGGTGGGAGGGCACCTAATCCGAGGCCCAGTTTCTCCATCTGTAAAATGAGATGTCCAATCTGCAGGTCTGTTCTGGGCTCAACAGTATGTTCCAAGAAGGCTTCGCAGGTGCGGAGAAGGCACTAGGTGAATGGAGTGGGTCTTCTTTCCTAAATGAAGTTGGCTTAGCAGTACTCCGGAGAGGACTCTGTGATACACACGACCTGCATGGAGCCCTCCTCCAAAAGCTCCTGTGACCTCAGAGTCTACCACACACAACATCAGGCCTGGCCTCTCACCTGGAACCATACCCTTAGTGCTTCTTGTTAATGGGTACACAGATTTCTTCATGATGGGTTTAAAACAGAAAATCTGCATTTCACCAAAGCTCCTAAAACCCAACTTACGTCACCTGAATTGGTAACATCAACAGTGCTTACAGTTTTTACGAGAAATCTAACTTTCATTAAATCATTACAATAGTGAAAAACCATTCCACTATTTGTGGAAAAGTTTTGGGTGAAGTAGGCCATCAGAGAACTAAAATTCATAGCAGTTGGATGGGTCATTAACATGTTTTACTGATATCAGCTCCTCCCTGAAGCACTGTGAGGTAGTAAAAAGATGAATTGGCCCTAGCCAGTGTGGCTCAGTGGATTGAGTGCCGGCCTGAAAACCAAAAGGTGGCAGGTTTGATTCCCAGTCAGGGCACATGCCTGGGTTGCAGTTCAGGTCCCCATTAGGGGGCGTGTGAGAGACAACCACACACTGATGTTTCTCTCCCTCTCTTTCTCCTTCCCTTCCCCCCTCTCTAAACATAAATAAATAAATAAAATCTTAAAAAAAAAAGATGTATAATTGCCATGTGTCAACCATGCACACTTCATGCTCAACCTGGCCCACGTGGCCTGGATAGACACACCCTGGTCCAATGACTGACACTGCCCACCAGCGGGGAAAGACCGATGCATTTCACTCAAGATACCCTCATACACTACAGAATAAGGGATGCCTTTATTTTCCAAACAAAATTTTGCCGAGAATCCACAGGATGTTGGTTTACAACTTGGGCATATTTCACAGGTACATTTTAAAAACTGTCTTGTTGTGTGAAGTTTAGAGGTAAACCATAAAAGTTCATTACGTGCAAACCCCAACACATGCTCACCTCTCCTTTTCTGCAAAATCATTTTGTAACTTTTGTTCCTTTTCGAGAGCTATAGTCTCGGCTTGATTCTTCAGAGTCTGTTCATATTCTCGGATTTTCTCTTTAAGTGCTTTTATCGTAACCTCTGCAGAAAGAAAAAAAAAAAAAACTACCGTAGGAGAAGCACAGTTCCATGTGGCTATATATACAGGCTTTCGTAACTGAGCAGGACTGGTGTGCTTTAAACTTTAGCTCTTCAACTCTGACACAAAATCAATGGTTACGAGTCCCTTCAGAGACCTTTTACTCCCTAAATGTTAAATTGAACTTTAAACGTTTAGGTTGAGGAGGATCAATGGATTTTGCTGGGAAGAAGAGCTATGGTTTCTCTGATACAACTTAGAAAAGGGTGGGGGGAGGAATCATGGTAAAATATAACATTATCTTATTGATGGGTCTTAAATTAGTCCTCTACTGAGGGAAATTAATAAAGTTTAGTGTGGGTTTAAGTATTTTCTTACAAAAAAAAAAAACAAAAAACCCAGCCCAGATCATAACTGCGTGCACATTTTGGGAGACACCGTCTCAGCCAAAGTCACATACCTACCTACAGGTCCCCCGGTGGTGGGCACAACTTTGCTGTGCCACGGTGATGCACCACGGAAGTGCTCTGTGGGTACCGGGTGGATCTCCTTGGCTGGAAGGGACCCACCCTGTGCCTAGGGTACACCTTCTGCCCAGGCCAGAGCCTGGCAGACTAAGGCTGTGTGCACCGCAGACTAATGGGGGATGGGGGAGCTGCTCTTGAGGGAGGGTGAGGGTCAAGGATGTGGGCAGCGGTGCTGTGCAGAGAATGAGCCCTGTAATGCCCAGGTTCAGGACACAGGGCCCATTGGGAGGGCAGGCTGTCTCTGGAAAGTTCAGGCCACACCACCAGGGATGGCATGTTTACAGCTGTCATTTCAGTTACCCCAAATGGGAATGCCAAAGCAGATACAATGAATGGGGTGAGATCCTTACTCAGACCCATGGGTGGCTTAGGGCAGGACTGCTCCACAGGTTCCCTCCCATAGATCCTGCCATGCCACCCTGCATGCTGGACAGTCCCCGGCACAGCACTGTGGTCCCAACTCCAAGGAGAGTGGAGTGCTTGGGGAAGTACACCTGCTGTGCACGAATCCATCTCTTAGAAGGTAAAGCTGAGGTTCTTTGTGGCCCCAGCAACGGGAACTCTGGAAATGGCTGAGACACAAATAAATGAAGGAGACCAGGCTGGGCTGACAGGGTGAGGTCCACACAATGTGATAATGGAGTTCCAGGCTCATGGGACGATGCCACCGCTAGACCTTTGCCCAAGGAAGAGCTTGGAAATGTGGCCCTTGTCCTTCAGGCTGTAACTTGTATCCACCTTGACTGCCTGAGCTGCACTGGTGGGCTGGGCAAGGCAGGAGCACACCGACTGGGCACCTAGTATCTATGCGGCTTAGTGGATAAAAGCTAAAGGCTCTTTTGTTAAAAGAAGAATTTGGCCCTTTTTATTAAGTGGAACCTGGAAGGTTCTCCTTAGAGGAAAAGAGAGAGAATTAAAACTAATGACCCTGTCAGAGCATTTGAAAGAAGAATGGGGATTTCTGCCTTTTGGACTGGTTATTTTGGGCCCGAAAGAAATGCTCTGTGAGCATAATGGTTAGCGGCACGCATTACTGTCAGACACACTGACAGGTCCAAAGCTGAGCATCAGTGGAACACTTCCAAAATGAACTCTGAGATGGATCACCTCTGAAAACGCTTGCATATTCTTAAAGTCAATGGTCTATGCAATGATGTGAACACAAAACATTTCTGCGTCTAACAACTGGTTGGAAAGACCTGCACAGCCCTTGGACCCCGGTGCTCCTTCCAATGGGGCTTCTCAGTGTGACGCCCCTGTGCTTCTCCAGGGGACTCTGGGGCACTAGCTGGGGGCTCCCACTCTGTCTCATGAAGTCTCTTTGCCACCCATCAACCCTGGGTGAGCTGCTCACTGCTCGGCTGAGCCTAAGCCAGGAGCTGACTTGTCCTGGAGCCTCTGACTCCGGTCCTCCTGTTCCCGGGCTGGCGTCCCCTACAGGGGAGCCAGTGAGGGAAGAGAACACGGTGGCAGAAAGGGTGCTGTAGGCCCTGCTCTAATTAACTGTACCTGGGCCCCCAATTCACACATCTTTAAATGGGGGGAAGAATATCAGCACATAATAAATTCCTTTCCTGCTCTAACTTTTCATCAATTTACAATATGGCTGTGCTAATTAAAACTAGTGACGTGCACCTCAATCCTTCCAAGTTAAAATCATTTTTATACTGGGAAGAAAAGAGAGGAACTTGACATTTTTCTGGAGGTTGGAAAATCTGTTAAGATATCAACAGCTAAAGAAAAGGCGGGAGCGGGGATAGTTCTAGAGAAAAACAACAGTGCTCACGAGGAGCAGCCGACCTTTACTGAGTGTCAGGAATAGCTCCAACGTCTCACCTGCATCTCATTTCACCTACAACGACCCTATGAGGTTAGTGGGAGAATCCCCCATCCGAAAAGAGGAGGCTTATAACAAAGTGAGACCCCTTATTCAACATTGCACAGCTAAGCAGTGCCAGTGAAGGGACTCAAACCGGGCCTGCAGACCCCCGGTTCCTTCATTGTTAAGTCTCTGACTATGTAACAAATGGTTTCATTTATAAATGACCATCAGATGGGGCCTTTGGGGAGCAGAACCCCTTGCACCTGGCTGTGGTCCTCACTGGGCAACTGGGCATGGAGGCGCTGACAGAGCAAGGTGGGGGCAGGGCACTAGCACCTGCACCGCCTCCCACAAAACAGAGTGGATCTGTCAGAGTAAGATGCTGGAGGTTGCTAGGAGGCAAAAAACAAAAACAAAGCTCACTCCTTTTGGGTAGGGCAGCAATGAAACCCAGTTGTGAGAATTTACAGGTTATCTTCCACCTGGGCATTTGGGTGGTTCTGAAAAGAAACAGCTCCCCTTAGGGGGAAGGCAGCACCTTCTCCCACCCAGACCCCAGCCTCGTGAGTCCAACAGCTCATGTTCCGGCAGGACAAAGCTGTCCCTGAGTCCCAGTGACTCACTGCTCCTTGTGGCACCAGATGGGTGTGTGTGTTTGGGGGGGGGTCTCAGCTGTCCCCGAGCTCTAGTCCCCCAAGGAAGGGCAACCACGGGACTGCCCAGGCTGCTCAGGCCGCATGTTCCAGCTGCTCGTCACAGTCTCTCCCTGGAGCCTCTCCACGCACAGTCCCTCCTCACAAGCCTGTCTTCAATGGTCTCAAAGCCCAAGGACACTTTTAAAAATCATCATCAGTTAATTCTTATGCACCCTTGAAGAACATTAAATTGAAGGCCACTTGGAGGAGGTCATCCAAGCGGTTTACCTTTCCTTTCCAGCTCCTTCCTCACTCAAACCCACACAAAACCGAAGAGGCTGCATTTCTACTTGGAGTTGCCTGAAAATCCCACAGCTGCTGCCAGATAAGGCTGTAATTTTTCTTCGAGACAAGGAAGTCATCAGGTTCCCGGAATCTGAACACATCTAGGTTTTAGGTGCAGGAGCGATTCCTTTGTTCTTCCCTGACAGGAAACGCCAGGCAACCTTTGCCCTCTCCGTCTTGTCGACGGCTGGGCAACCACACCAAGAGGTCGTTTTCTTTCATTAAATCCATAATGAATAGGTGACGCTGACAAGGAAACAGTAGTGCTTAAACATGCAGACTTGTAGGACGCATCTAAAGCCTTAATGTATCGGCAGCAATGATTAAGTGACTTACTGTCCGTGACCCTTTGATCACGAGCTGGCTCCCTGACGGGTGTCGCCCTCAGGCAACGCATCACTCTTTTAAAAGGCAGATCCTATCACATGATGACACAGGAAGAATTTTAAAAGAATCCTGATCAGTCCCGTCACAGAGCAATAAAATCATATGTAGTTACTGTGCAGAGGAAAAGTCTTACTTCTAAATAGCTGAGCATTGTTATTATCTCTCTTTAATGATTCTGATTCTTACCCCACCCTGACTTTATGACGTATATGACAATTAGAGCTAGTCCCAACAGTATGGGGAAGGCAATTAAAAAATGAAAAGAAAGAAAAAGCCAAGCAAAGAATGCATCTTCCACCAACCTTGATTTTTCACTTCAGCAAACTCCTTGTTGTATTCTTCAAGAGTTTCCCTAAGCTTCTGGTTCTCTGTCTCAATGTCGTGCAGGCGCTGCACTTTGAGCTGGAGCTGCTGCCCGAGGTCCAGAGCCGGCACGGGATCTGCACGAGAGAAAAAGACACATAACCTTCCGGTGGACACAGACAAGCCACCCTCATGGTCTCACGGGGGCTCAGGCAGATCTCTTGGGGTGCCTGAGAAGTTGGCCTCCAGGCCTGGGGATGCCACCAGAAGTTGGGGCACCTGTGGCCTTGCCACCTCTTTCCAAGTCCCTGGGCGCCCCGTGGCTAAAATCCGGGCACTTCTTTGTTGCCTACAAAGGACGTGAATGCAGACCCACCCCAGGGCCCCCAAGCATGAACACGGAATGCAGATGGCTACGTGCTCACTGGGGTTTGCCCACTGCTCTGGCATAGCATGACGCTGAGTCTCCGAGCTGAAAAGAAGAGAGGTACGTGTGCTGGCAGCAAGGGGAGAGGCCCTGGGAAAAGCCTCCATGCACCTAGAGCTGCACTTGGTTGGGGTGGGGGGGTGCCATAAGCCACAACTTCACAACAATTCCTATGAAGTTGGAAAAAACACCCGATTCTCTGAGAGTGGCTCACTGTCACGATACACCTTCACAGACATTTTCTCATTTGAGCCTCAAAATAATGCTGGGAAGGAGATGGGAGACTTGTGCTAGATCCTTTCACGGAAGTGGAAACGAAAGCTGGGGGAAGCCAAGAGACTTGTCCAAGGCTAGTCAGTGGGGAGAGAGGACTCGAACCCAAGACTGTTAACCCCCAGTGACTGCTGTTCCAACAAGGAAGATGCCCTGATGGAGCAGAGGAGAGAAACACAGCCTTTGTAAGAGGCCCCCTATTTAGGACATGCTCACTTTTCATCACAAACCTTTACTAATCAAGGACACTGACAGGGAGTCAGGTGAGCTGAAGACTGGAGACTGCTGGGTTTCTGCCTTGGGAAGTTCTGCTGTCCCCAGAGGCACAGCTGGTGAGCTGACCCACTGTGACCTGTCCGAGGCCATTAAGCCAGGCAGCCAGTAGGCCCCCACACTCCAATTACAGTGTGAACAGCAGGAGACGGCACCTGGGCCAGTTACGTGAGGCATTGTGGCCAGTTCAACATACTATCTGCTGTCAGATTTACTTACAAAAACCTGAATTCTAATCTAACGTTAGAGATTGCAGACACAGAATTTATGGTATTGACTCTTGGCCTTCAACACAAAATAGAGAGGCATTCAACGTTCTCCTGGCATCAAGTTGATCTTTATTTTTTTCTTCTGCTGCTTAAAAGGCACTTATAATCCACCTGCTGGGCACCAGTGGAGCACTTCCTCTAGAACGCCTGGGCTCCACCAGAGTAGAATACCCTAGTCCTCCAGGCTTAGAAAAGATTATTGAAGATATTTCTGGTATGGACGCCAGCATCACTTATGAAATGGCTGCAAGGATTTAGTCTCAGCTGAGGAATGCTAAACACCGAGCTCAGTGGATCAACAAGGGTATATGTTCAAGAGCTCACTTAATTTTCAAATACCAGAGTCATTAATTTTTCAGACCACCCCTGGTTCCTGGAAACGAGGGCTAGATCCACCATGTTTCTGTTGACGCGTCTACCAGGAGCCAGGAGCCCTCAGAGATGCCAACGTCTTTACAGAGTTTACAGAAGGCGCGCACTGGGGTATGTCCAGCACGGCAGCAGACCTGTGCGTGGGGTTTCACACTGACACTGCCCGTCACGTGGAGCCCCTGGCCGCGGGGCATTCATTCTGTGTGTATATACAGTGTATAACTCTATCACTTTTTCATTTGTGGCTTTTCATTGTTATTTTAATCACCATTAAAATATTTATATTAAATTAGATTTCAAAAGCTATTTTGTGGAGATAGTTCCTTGTAAGTAGGAGCGGTAATAACACTACAGACTGAATTACTCAGAACATTTCAGGTGTAGGTTTTTTCCGTTTAATATCTTTCCAGGGTACCTTCCCACCCTCCACCCCTCTCTCCATGGCCTCGTGCTGGGCAAATGGCCTGAAGGAAATAAATGGTGTGCCCACACGGTCCCCTTCATAGAGAACGACAAACTGAACTTGAAACAGAGGTCAGGGAAAGATCGAGGAGAAGGAGAACCCCTGCCCTTGTGTAAAATTCTACCAGTGTCTGTTCAAGTGGCTTTCCGGCACAACTGCTCTTTGAAGAGCTAAGCTGGTATACTGCTGTTCGCCCCTAAAATTTCTGTTGACAACTTTTCCAGTCCATACCTTTTAAAAGGCCAGTACCCACTGTGTCTGCTTAGAATACAAAATAGCTTCCCTTGTTTGATTCAGCAAAAAATTCAGTGACATAAAAATAACATGCACATTATCAAGTGGATGGTAACTCTGGACCTTTAGACAAAGTTTCAAAGCATTGTATTGTAGACGAAAATTCTGGCAATCTTGTAATTATCCATTATGGCATATATATTTAATTTAACACTATTAAAGGTTAATGCCTAAGTAGCAAAACTGGTCACAGAATAGAGAATGAACTGAGTGTTCAAACATCTCTATGCATTAAACTTCAAACTTTACTACAGTACAGTTGAATGACTAAATGCCTACAGCATTTGAATATTGTTTTGGATTATGTAAAAGGCATTGCTAAAGTACCTCTTAGGCTTAATTTTTATTACTTGCATTAAAGGAACAGCTAATTACCACATGACAATATAATGACTCCAGCGTGTTTGGGCTAGAGACCAAAACAACGACTTTCGGCATGCCAAACCCCAACCTGCATGTTAATCTAGGGGAAATCATAGCTTTTTTGTCTCGTTAATGATTTCCAATGCCATTTAAACCCCACACAAGTATTGTTAGGCCTTATTCTGAATGTCACAAGCCTCCGATCTCAGCAGCTCAATTAAGGAATTGTCTGGGGGAGGCGCGGGAACACACCCATACGTGGAACAGGAACACACAAAACCCTCACCCTGTCTTCCTTGCCTCCTCCAACTTAACGTGCTTTACTGCCAGTTCCATCCACACAATGTGACAAACTTGCAATGTGCTTTAAAATCATCTAATAGTTAATGCCTGAAACACTCTTTGAGGCACTATAGAACTCTTTATGTGACACAGGACTCAAAGGACATAATTACAACAAACAACAACACGGGCACTCAGCACCTTCTCCTAAGGACCTGTAACATTACCTCATTTCCAGCCATCACAGTCAGGGCTGGGGGGTGCTCCACAACACGTCTGGTGCTGGCTTCTCACTCACGGGGCCGGGGGTTGGGGAGAAGTCGGCCAGGCAAACGGGTATGCAAAATTCTTATGAAGATTTCTCCTTCCTGAGCTAGCAGCCAACTAAATCATCCTCTCTTCAAGTCCTAATTTAATGAGGTAAGCACCTCTCTGCTCCTGGTAAGTCCCAAGTGAGGCAATGGGATGAACACGCAGCCACGTGGAGATAAACCACGTTTGCAAATAACAAGAGTGAGACAAGATGGGCCACACAGATGAGAGGAGTGGAGGACCACTCCCGAATAGAAAGACTGGGAAAAGTAGATTTTTTTTTTAAAAGAGGAGACAGAGTTTAGGCTCATGGAGGCGGTGGGGCAGCCAGTCCACGTGGCAGATGCAGAAAGCCAGGGGAAAAGGAGCAGGGAAAAGCCAGGTGCGTGCAGTTCGGTCTATTGCTGGCTGGAGCCCAAGTACACGTTCTAAGACACCAGGACCATTTTAGGTGCTGGGGGACACGAAGCTGATCACGACAAAACCTTGTTCTCGCAGACTTCATATTCTGAAGTGAGTGAGGTAGACAAAAAGCAGAACCACATAAAATAGAACTCTTTTAAGGACCGCCAAGCATGAAAGAAAAAACGGGGTGTGGAGAAGGGGAATGGAGATGACTGTCAGGGAGGGTCTCTGGGACAACTGGCCTGGGTCTGGAGGGAGAGGAGGAGGGACTGCGGAAGTTCTGGCAGAGAAGCAGCACTGCAAAGGCCCAGGGCTGGGTGTGAATGTGGCCTGTTCCGGGCAGAGGGCGGAGCCGGGAAGGCTGTAACAAAAGGAAGGGAGGGTGGCACAGCCCACGTGGTCAGGGAGGGAGCCTGTGCTCAGGATTTAAACAAAAATGTGGGCACAATTAAGGAGAGAAACAGAATATATATAAGGAAGAGTAAGAGAATTCTAGAGCTGAAAGTAAATGGTCTGAATTGCCTTGTTGTGCAGTAGGCAGCGCACCAGTCACAAAAAATACAATGCTGAAGAAAGCCGAGGGACCGACTTTGAGTTCAATTAAATTCTCCTCTTTTGTTTGTTTTCATCCTCCCCCAGGACTTTTTTTTTCCCCCATTGCTTTTAGAGGGGAGGAAGGGAGAGAAACATCGATGAGAGAGAGAAGCATTGTTACAGGGTGCAGCCAAGAGGGAGGACCCCAAATAGGCATTTGAAATGGGGTCCAGAACTCAAGGTGTCCAGGAGATTTTAAGGTGTCTTCACCCCTTCCCCCACAGGTGTGAGTTGGAGGAAGGGGCACACAGAGCAAGAACATGCAGGGCAGCTTTGCAGCTAATCCATGGCATGGTCATTTAGCATACCTATAGCCTTTGGCTGGTCACTTAGATATGCTAAATAGCTATGGCCATGCTCAAGGCCAGGGGGATGGAAAGGGATCTCCCCCCAAGATGTGACTAGGGGGCAGGTCCCCTGAGTTACAGCGCCTGCGTGGGAGCTGGGAGAAGATTGGCTCCATGACATGGGGTGACACCTGCCCAGACCCACGATGGCGACCAGAAAAGCTGGAGAAGACAGCAGATTGAGGGCAAGTGTGCCCAAGTGTAGGAGGAGTCGGAAATGGGGCTGCAGAAGAAGATTGGCGTGGGGGATTTAAACCCAGACACGGCAGCCATTGAGGGGGAACCACGTGGCTTTGGACAGAGTGGGGACTCTCCCCTCCCGCATCCCAGAGGAGGAGAACCACGCGGCCTTGACAGAGTGGAGACTCCCGTGGCCCTGGGAGAGAGGACCACATGCCTGTGCCAGAGTGGGGACCCCCACAGCTTTAGAAGGGGGAACCACCACCTGGTTTTAGCAGAGATC